TTGCCCCCAGCATGCTCCCAGTCACTCCCCCTTTTTTCCCATGCTTCCAGCATGGTTCCAGCTGCTTACAGTCACTCCCAGTATGATCCCAGTCACCCTCAGTGTGATCCCAGTCTCACCCAGCATGGGCCCAGCTGCTCCCAATGTGATCGCAGTATGATCTCAGTTGCCCCACAGCATAGGTTTACTTGTTCCCAGTTCCTTCCAGTATGATCCCAGTTATCCCTAGAATAGTCCCAATCCCTCTCGGCATGGTCCCAGATATGCCCAGTTGTCCCAGTGTAGATGCAGTCATTCCCAGTTGCCCCTGGCTTGGTCCCAGTTGCTCCCAGCATGGTCCCAGCTGTTCCCAGTGTGGTTCCCGTCTCCCCAGTATATCCCAGTTAAGCTCAGTATGCTTGTAGTCATTCCCAGGCACTCTCAGTTGCCCCAGTAAGGTTTTCATTACCTCAGAGTGATACCAGGCTTTCCTGGTTACTTCCAGTTTCCTCCAGCACAATCCCAGTTTCTGTAAGTTGCCCCAAGTGTGGTCCCAGTTGCCCCCAGTATGATCCTAGTACCTTCCAGTTGGTCCCAGTTGCTCTCAATGCGTCCAAGTTTTTCTCCCAACATGGGCCCAGTAGGTCCCAGTAAGCCCCAGTCAGGTTCACTTCACACCCACTGTAATCCCAGTGGCTCCCAGGATGATCCCAGTATGACTCCAGTCACTTCCAGCATTATTCCAGTCATGCCTGGAGGGATTCCCTGCCACTCCCAGTGTGGGTCCAGTTGCTCCCAGTCACCTCCAGTATGGTTCGAGTCAGGGCCAGCACCTTTCCAGTCACTCCCAGTCTGATTGCAGGATGATCCCAGTCATTCTTTGACACTCCCAGTACTATTCCACTCTATCCCATTATGATCCCAGTCAGTTCCAGTAGGATCCCAGTATGACCCCAGCATGGGCACAGCTGCTCCCATTATCATCCAGCATGGTTCCAGTTGCTCCCACGTACACCCACTATGGTTTCAGTCTCTCCCAGTACATCCCAGTCGCTCCCAGCATGTTCCCAGTCACTCCCAGTTACCCTCAGTTGCTTCCAGCCTGATCCCAGTTGCTCACAGTCACTCCCAGTCACCGTTAGTGCAGTCCCAGTTGCTCCAAGTATGTTCCTGTGTGATTCCAGGCTCCCCCAGCACGGGCCGAGCTGCTTCCATTGTGATCCCAGTAGGATTCTAGTTGCCATTAGCATGGTTCCAGTTGCTCCCTATTCCTCCTAGTTGAACCCAGTTGCCCCTAGTAGAGTCCCAGTTCTCCCCGGTATGGTCCTGGTTGTTCCCAGTATGGTTCCAGACATTCCCAGTATATCCCAGTTAACCTCAGCGTGATTGTAATCATCCCCAGTTGCCTCAGTAAGGTTCCAATTACCCCAGTGCAAACCACTAACTCCCAGTGGTCCCACTCCTGGGATCCCTCACCTCTCTCTGCGTTCCCCCCTTCTCGATCTCCAGGCTCCCCAGAGGAGCCCCAAGGGCTGGAAGTCCCCACACAGGGGGTCCACCAAGTCCCGATTTGGATCTGCAGCCCTGTTGCAAATGGAGATGGGAGCTCAGATGGATTTCTGCCTTTTGTCTTGGCCTTTGACACCCAGTAGTTCAGGGTGGCCAGCACCCCACAACCCAGTCTCATTCACAAGTTCTTTTAATAGTAGCCCATTAGGTTTAATATCAAATGAATTATGGTTTATTAGACACAAGACAATAACAGAGTAAGGAGTTTGGGGCAAATGATATACTACATAGAAATAAAACAGAAGAAACTACTAGTAGAGTAAGTACAGCAGTTTAAAATGCAGTGTGCAATGAAGGTACCTATTAGTTCAGCTAGCAAAGGAATAGTACAGCTTAGGATTCTATGCATATTTTACCAATCCAATCAGTGGTGGGAGCACACATCAGAGATCCTTTCCCTCAATCCCCAGAGAAGTAACTGCAAAGTTCATGTCTGAACCTTGAGGAGAGGCCTTCACACTCTTCCACTGTTTATGTGAGAAGCTTCTGCCTTTCTAGAAATGTTGTGTGTGTTTCATAGTGCAAAAACTGAGACTTTGGTCACTGTTGTAGGTTTTATTTTTTTATCTCCCTCTATAACTACCCTCCATACCAAGATGTTGATTCCTGGTTGGATGATCAGATTCTTGGACATCAAAAATAACTCCTTTCTGAGCCTTTTGACCTGGCCTGTCTTGCATATGCCAGCCAGATTTCAGAGGAGGGAGAAAAAAAGAAGTACCTGCTCTTGTTTCAGTTGATGTACTTATGTATTGGATTATGAAACAAAAATATATACTTGGAAAGAAATAAAAAATAATTAGTAATAAACCAAGAGATGATAAGATATGGCATTGAATTTAGAATGTTCACGGTAACTTGGGGCCAATTCCACAAGGAATATCAGTTCATGTAGGATAGGTTGTTTCTCACCCTTGAGTTTTGGGGTCATCGGAGAAAGAGATGAAAATGAGGAACAAAGAAGAGTTTGTGGAGGTGGCTTCTTGGTTGTAACAATTGGAAAAGTTCAATGGATGGTTTGTGACTTTCACTTCGTTTTGTGCTTGTCAACCCAGTCTTCTTCAGCGGAGTTTAGGGTTTCACATATTCTTGCTTAACATATTAAGTGTTAGACAATTTTACAATAATTTAAATAAATACAAGCATTCATATAGTAGTTTGGTTGTTTCAGGAGAATTAAGGATGTAATGAAACTTAATTGTTTTACTTTAAATAAGATTTTAATGGGAATCTTTTATTTTGAAGAGGTGGTCATATTCAGGGTGAAATCTCTTTTTACTCACTGTGATATTTAAAGTGAAGATACAGCTATTCTAAATCAGTATTTGTAAAACTACAAAGAATATATATCTATAAACATGAATTAAAATAACTAAAAGAATCAAATAATTTGGTATTCAATGATAGGTTTTAATGTTGAAACAAGTTAAATTTATTCTTCTTGAGATTTTTAGACAAAATGGCAATCAGTAGATTTACACATTTTGGCAGTTCCAGTTTTGCAAATTTGGAATATAGTTCATATGCTGAACATTATTAGAATTATGATTAATGCATTAATTAGTTTCTTCATGATTGCATTTATCTAATCAAATAAATCTGTATCTTGATCCTTTTGGATTTCATGTTAGTTTCTAATGTTTTTCCTAATTTTTTCTACATCAGTTTGTGTTCCTAGAGTTTGATCTATGTATGCACAACAGTTAGAGTTGACAACTGTGCTTACCCCGCCTTTGGAGGTTCAAAGCAAATCCAAAGCCATTTGGTTTTGCTTGACYACCTTTGAGAGGCTGGTAACTTCTTGTTGCAAAGCACTGATTGCATCAATTGTTCGGTTTTCTATTTGCTCAATAACGTCGGATATGTTCACTATTGCTTGTTCTAATTCAGGCATTCCTAATACAGGCACTCTTATTCAGGAAGTCTTTTACAAATCTGTGGAATTTAGAGGATTTCTCAATTAAGGGATTTAAATTTTATTTGTATCCCATTATAAGAGATCATAAGTGTCCTCTGGGAAAGGCTGATTTTTTAGTGATGTCTATTGTTGGGACTTCTCTTCCAATGGTGCATTTTCTTTGCCATTGAGAGGGTAAAGTTTTTCTAGTTCGATTTCTACAAAGCTAATAGTATTTTGTATTGTTTGGAATAGGCCACTAGTGTGTAGTAAAAATGCTTTTTCTAGTTAAGTCTATATATGAATGATACTTGGGATAGATTCTTAGCATAATCTCTTGGCTACATTTAGGTAACTTCATTCTTTGGTGTGAAGTCATTTCTGGTCTTACACATCCGTGGATACAGAAGGTTTCAACAGCTGCTATGTCTACTGCTAGAATTCGTTGGTCAGTAGAGGTTTGAATTTTCCTTTCTAAAAGGGTCATCAGTCCAGCAGGAGGAACACTATTGGAGAATCTGTTTGGTATGGGAATTCCCATCATCTGAATACTTTCATCTGAGTGAGAGGGAAACTGAGAACAGACCCAGCAGTTGCTGCAATTTGTTTTCATTGTCACGGCTTGTATTAGTTTGAGATGGGAATTCCTCTTCCAAGGGTCAGACAGCATTTGTGTGTTCATGTTAGGTTAGAGTGTGTCATGGAATTAGATGGCATTTGTTTTATCTGTGATAGGTTGGAGTGTGTCATGGAATTAGATGGCATTTGTTTTATCTGTGATAGGTTGGAGTGTGTCATGGAATTAGTGGCATTACTCTTTCATTTTGTTCTAATAATGGTTAATTGCAAGGCTTTATTAGGGTGGCTGATTGGCTTTTCTGTGTTACTAAAATATTAATCTGTAAGTATAAGAATGTAAGTAGTATAATAATTAACATTTTTGATTACAGTAGATTTACTGGTTGCTGTGCAGTCCAGTATGGCTCCTCTGTGTTTGGAGTTGGCTTTATCTGCTTACAGAAGTCTAAGAATTTCAACAGTTTTGGCAGCTGTGCAGGTAGTGAAGAGTTCTTCTCACTGCTGCTTGAAAGGTTCTTTGTTTCATTTTCTGCTACACTTAGGTTTTGTTTGTGAAGGTATATTTAAACATTCACAGTTATTAGAGAAATTAAAACAGTAGAACTTAAGCAATAATAGATGTGTTTTTCCAGGGAGTCATAGCAGCAGTTCGATGTGTGGCCTCTAGCTGCAAAGGCAGCGCTCCGCTCGCTCACTGCCGTCAGAGGGGGCCGTGTAGGAGCAGTCTCCGTGAGGCTTCATTGAGAAACTTGCTTTGTTTCAGAGCAAAGGCAAGCTGGTATAGAGGCAAGAGTGTCTCGGGATCAGCCTGGCAGCTGGGCTGGAGTTGGGCTCGTTTGTGTCTCTGGTTCCCCTGGGACAGCACCTGCCCAGCGCCGAGGGGACAGCAATGGGATTGGGGCAGTTTGGGGTGAGCTTCAGTGTCTGTGCCTGGGATAAATCCCAAAGCCTTCCCTGAGGAGAGGGAGTGCTGACAGAGCACAGGATGCTGCTGCTGCTGCTGCTCACAGGAGGAGCGGGCAGGAGAGGAGGGACAGAGGAGGAAGAGGAGCAGGGAAGGAGCACAAAGAGAATCAGCAGAAGCAGCTGCCATACGCGTCCATCGCTTTCTGTGTTCACAACCCTTTACTCCAGGAGCATCCAGCCCTCGCATCCCGCAGGTGGACGGGGAGGGGGAGATCACCCCAAATATCCTCTGGGCGGTCCCTGGGGTTCCTTTTAGGAAGCGGGGATTTTTGGACCTTGGAGCACTTCAGTACGGAGCTCTGAATATCTTCATTGGTTCACGGAAGGGTTTTTTTAAGGGGGGGGCGGCTTATKTTTGGATGTTGCAGGGCTCCAAATGTGAGTCACAATGCTCCTTGGGGGAATATTAGGGAGTCCATGGCACATGGGATGGGGCCCGGGAAGGATTGGGGTGTGGGATGAACTGAGGGGTAGGGGAATGGGTGACATGAGGCCTGGGATGAGGCAGCCGAAGGTTCGGGATGATGAGGCCAGGAGGACCCCGCTCCTTAGGGGCTTGCGGGATATCTACCACCTCTGAGGGAGTTTTTGGGTACACCCTAATCCTTTGTACTGGCAGCAGGGGGGGCACGTGGCTCCGGCACCTCTGAGTCCCACCTGCGCCCCCCTTGGCCCCAGCACCCCCCTTATGGGAGCRGAATTTGGGGGCAGGGGAGGTGGGGGGCGCCCAGTCCAGGCCTCCCCACGCTGTCCTGGTGGGAGCCGAGTGCGGATGGGAGCCCTGCGGGGCCCGGCCCTTCCTGGCATGACTGATGCCACCCGCCTGCACTACTCCACACTGGTCTGAACTGGTGCTCCCAGTGTTGCTCTGGGATGGGGCCACTTTGGGGACCCCCCGAGGGCACAGGGCAGCTGCTTTGGGGCTGTGGGCACCTGGCTGGTGCTGGGGTTGGAGCGTGTGGGGACAACTGGGGCCGTACTGGTGGCACTGGTGGTGCTGGGGGCCCCCCTGGCTGCGGGTGAGGAGCTCTTGGGTGAGGGGTGGAAAAGTGGGCACCCACTCCAAAGAGGAGGAGAGTGGTGAAGAGGGGGGTCGCGGTTCCCAAACTGAGGGGAGAGGGGACTGTGAGCCCCAAATGAAGCATTTGGGGCACTGAAACTTTGGGGGAAGATGAGAAAGGAGGGGGATAGGAGGGAGAGGGAAGAAAAAGGGAGTGGGATCCTTCACCTTAGTGGGGTCAGTTGGTGTATGAGGATTGAGGGAATGATGGGAAAAGGGTGGAGGAGGGAGAAAAATAGGAGGTGGAACCTCCAAATGAAGTAGGAGGGGTGTGGGAACCCCAAACTTGCCATCATGGCAGGAGAGTGATCTCCTGTGGGAAGAGCTTTGGCCAGAACAGGGAGCTGATCTCCCAGCACAGGATCCAAGTGGGGCTGAAGTCCTGTGTCTGCCCACGCTTTGCCCAGAGGTCCCATCTCATAGGAGAGACATCCTACATGGGCCAGGAATTCCAGAAAAGCTTTGGTGGGAGCCCCAAACTCCTCAGGCACCAGGGGATCCACACTGGGGAGACTCTATAGATGCCCAAACTATGGGAAGGATTTCACTGTGAGCCCCAAGCTCCTGGAACCCCTGTAGGACCCACGTGGAGGAGGGTTCCTCCAAGTTCTCCAGCTGCAGGAATAGCCCCAAGGAGCCAAGGTCCCCTCAGAACCACCCTTTGAAGTAGAAGCCCTCTCCAGCCCAGGGCCCTGGGAACACTGTGGCATCTCCAGCCTGATCCACCCCAACAAGGAGCTCAGCCCAGCCCTCATCCTGCCCCTAAAATCCCTTGGAATCCCCCATCAGTCTCTGCATCCCTGCTCCAAACTCTCCAGGCTCCTGCGATGAGACCAGAAGGCTGGAAGTCCCCACCCAGGGTGACCATAATCCCCAAATTTTTATCTCCACCCACCAGGTTTTTCCTCTTTTTCTGGGTTCTCCCCTAGTAAGTGGGAGTGGCCAAGAGCCCCATGCTGCCTATCATGACCTGTCCCAGCTCCATCCCCACTCCTCCCGTGGGATGTGAGGGGTTTGGTGGGAATGAGGAGCCAAGGGTCTCTCTAGTCCTGGGGGGAGGAGTGGAAGGGATGGAGGAGGAGCGATGAAGAAACACTAGAAAGGGTGGAAGCAGGAGGAGAAGGAGGTGGAATTATGGAGGAAGAAGAAGAGCAGGGAGAGGAAGCACCATGGGGTTCCAGCACTCTGCATCTACAGCCCCCTCAGCCCTGAGTGCATCAACCCCACCACATCCTGCAGGCACCTGGGGAGGGGGAGTTCACCCCAAACATCTTGGGGGGTACCTGGGACAGTTTGTTTTTTTTTTGAAGTGGACATTTGGATCTTGCAGGACTGCAAAGCTGAGTCATAAATGCTCCTTGGAGGGTGTTGTGTTTTTGAACCCTGGCTGAATGTCAAGGATGTATCTGCCCCACGCTCAGGAGAAGCAGAAGGGAGAGCAAAACCCTAATTAACACCAAGATTTATGGCTTTTAGATAAGACAACAGATTGAGAGAAAGATTTTCACACTCCAGTGATGGTCAAACAGGCTGAAAAACTTAAGTTGCAAAAAAAGATTTATTACTAAAACTACTAAGAGTACTACCACGCAAAAGGGGAGGGGGGAAAAACAAAGGCAGAGGGCGAATTTACGAGGAGGATAGGGGAGCAGGGGATGAGAGGTTTTCTGGTCAGTCCATCACAATCTTTGTCTTCCAGCACCTTCAGAGAAGGGTTGGTTCTTGTCTCACTTGAGGCTGTGGGGGTTCTTTTCCCAGGAACAGACTATATCACTGCTGGTGGCATAGGATTTTTTCCCTTTACCTTGTCCACAGGGGGAGGGAAGCAGTCCTCCAAGGCTGGCTGGCTCCATACTCGATTGCGAGCAAAACTTTTACTCTTGAATCTTGGCACTTCTCCCTCCAGGCATTCACTCACTCACTCCAGGTGTGGGCCACCACCCCCACAGCTACTCCAAGGCCAGGCCACTTACATCTCAGGTGTCCAGCTGGACATGATCACCTCAGGAACAGCTTGTTTTCCTCCCTGGTCAGTACCACAGCTTGCAAAGCATCTTATAATCCTCCGCCTCCCTGATGTCTCAATTTTTTTTCACATATCCTCACTCTCCCCCTCCAACTTCTCCTGTACAAGGGGGGCTGGGGCTAAAAGCTAAAGCTATGGCAGATGCTGCAAACTAACTTGTTTTGAATTCTTCTTAAATATGAGACCATATGTCATCATAGAGGTGTAACCAGTATCTGTTGGGCCCAGGCTCGGCCAGCAGCCTGTCTATCACCCTCAGAGCCATCAGAGATTGGCCCTAAAACACAGGGGSAGGGCTCCTTTGCTGGACAAGCTGAAGAAAAGTTTTGGAAGTCTTTCTCAGAGGAGCCATTTTTGTGTTTTGTGGTCACATCCCCCACTACTAAAAAGCTAGACAAGCAAAACCACCACAGAGGCATAGTGGGGCATCCCTGGAGGGCAGTTTTGGGGAGATCCCAGTGGGTCAGGCTCTGGAGCCATGTGGCAGTCACCTGATACTGGCATTGGGGTAGGCACCAGGTTTGGGAATCCCCAGTAGAGCCAGGGATGGTAGAAGCCCAGAACCCCCAGAGTGTGGAGAGTAAAGAGAGACGATAGCAGAGCTGGGGGACCCCTGACAGCCTGGAGGGGAGTGGGAACAGCAAGCAGGGGAAGCAGGGACCTGTTGGACACCGAAGTGGAAGTGCAGGAATGGGAAACCCCTGGGATACCCAGGATCACCGGCAGCCTGAAGAAAGTGGGAAACCCAGGTAGGGGGAACCCCAACACACATGTGATCCCCAAAAGCCCAGACAGAGGGGATGCACAAAAGCCCAAAGTGGAGCAAAGAGAGAGGGGGAACTCTAATCTTGGAATTTTGTGTGTGAATGAGACTCTTTTGGGCTGTATCTTGGTGTTTCAGGTCTGTGTCTTGGTGTTTGAGGGTTTTTTGGGCTGACTTTTGTGTCCAGGAGGCTCTTGTGAACACCAAATGCCCACTGACTTCTAGAGATGGACTTGGGGAGGAGAAAGCCCCAACCCAATGAGCTCACAACTTCGCTTTTCTCCTCAAACCAGGATTTCCCATTCCCCAACTTTGGCCAGATGGAAAAGAAGGCTGCGAGGAAGAGGAAGATGCCCCAGGACACCCAAGCAGGTGAGGAGGACGTCAGTGTCCCTTTCCCCCTCTCTCCTGCTCCATCTCCCAGCCCAGCATCGTCCCTGGCTGCAGGACAGCCTTGCTGCTGACACCATCATATCAGGGACAGATTTGGGGGATCGCCTTCCCCTTCTCTCTGGCATGGAAGCAAATCCCATCCTCTCCTTGTCCTTCCTCCCCCAGACAACAAGCTGAGGATGGAGACCAGGGAGGACAAATCCCCACAGCAGAACCTCATGGAAGACGCCATTTTGAGCAGCTCCACAGCACAGAAATCCAACGGGGAGGAAAAGCCCCAGAGATCCCACACTAGGAGGTGCTCCAAACCCAGCCCAGCRTGCTCTGAGGAGGAAACGCCCACCCTGTGTGGGGAAGGCAGAAAGAGCTTCAGTGCAGGCTCAGAGCTGGTGGTCCATGAGCAGCCTCAAACCAGGGAGAAGCCCTACAAGTGTGGGGAATGTGGGAAGAGCTTCAGCCAGAGCTCCCACCTGATCCGCCACCAGATGATCCACACTGGGGAGAGGCCCTATGAGTGTCCTGAGTGTGGGAAGAGGTTTCAGACCAGGTCCAATCTCCTGCTGCATCAGCGGATTCACACAGAGGAGAGGCCCTTCCACTGCCCTGACTGCGGGAAGAACTTCAAGCACAATTCCCAGCTTGTCACCCACCGACGGATCCACACTGGGGAAAGGCCCTATGAGTGTGGGGAATGTGGGAAGGACTTCAGCCATATCTCTGAGCTCATCATCCACCAGCGCATCCACACTGGGGAGAGGCCCTATGAGTGTCCTGAGTGCGGGAAGAGGTTTACAAAGAGCTCAAATCTCCTCCTGCATCAGCGGATTCATACAGAGGAGAGGCCCTTCCGCTGCCCTGATTGCGGGGAGGGCTTCAAGTACAATTCCACCCTCGTCAGGCACCGGCGCATCCACACCGGGGAGAGGCCCTACAAGTGTCCCCAGTGTGGGGAGAGCTTCACTCGGACTTCTAACTTGACCAAACACCAGTGGAGGCACCAGTAAGGGAAGCTGTGTGATCCACGTAGGTAAGACACCTGACTGAGGGTCCTTTTATTTTGGCCCTAATTTTCTTTTTGATTCATTCTCATCCCTTATAAACACCCAAAATAAGGCTAAAAGTAAAGAAATTAATAAAATATGTTAAAGGCCCCATCATTTTGCAGGTATTTCAGGGGGAATTTAGTGATTGGGGACTTATTCAGAAATATTTGTGGGTTCTGGGAGAAATCTGGGTGGTGTTCTCCATCTCTTCACACTCCAGAAGTCAAGAGGGATCAATCTCTCACCTCAAAATTACTCAATCCCACCTCAAAATGGCTCAACCCTGCCACAAATTGGCTTGTTACTACCTCCCAAACTTCAGTCCCTCCCCAAAATTACACAAATTCAGAGCCTGCAGGGAAGGATGGGGTTGGAAGGGAATGGGAAAATTTGGAGGTGTAGGATTGGGATTGTGTGGGGCAAGGTGGGTGGGATGTATTCTGATAGCAAATAAAACTTTCAGCATTATTGATTTCTGTCCCGTTGATTTTCAGTCAGCTTCAGTTTGGTTTGCAGAGTGCCACCTTCTCCGCTGATTATATTTGGATCCTCCTTTCTCTTCTTTCTTTGCCTGCTCTCTTTCTTTCCTAGTGTCTCTCTTTACCCAGAGCTGCTCCCAGCCAAAGACCCTCACCTGACGTTGTTCCAAATCCATGAGCTAAAACAACCATGAATGAAGTTATGAAGGCTGGCAGTGAAATGCCCTTTTAAGATTTTGCTCCACTTGGCTTTCAGCCCCTTCTTAAGAGCTTTGCCTTTGAAGGCAAGAACATATTTTCCTTATTGAAACCTGGAATTCCAAACCCTTGGAGTGGGTGCCGTGGATCCCAGAGGGCAATTCTCAAGGCTCCCAAGGTGCTGATTTTGCACAGCTCCCAAGGGAGCTGTGCAGGGGCAGGTGACAAGATCCAGCAGCTGTGCTGGTTCTATAGTGTCACAATGGTCCCTGGTTCCATGAATTTCCACACTGTCAACAATGGTTTTATGGTTCCAATGATGCTGTATCATAACGTATTACAATGGCCTCTTGGCTCCATGAGGTTCTGTAGTGTCACTATGGTCTCCTTGGATCCACAATGGGCTCTTTGGTTCCATGAGGCTCCAGAGTTTCACAATGGCCCCTTGGTCCCAGGAGCTTCCATAGTGTCCAAATAGACTCCTTGGATGCACAGTGTAAAAATGGACCATTGGTTCCATGCAGCCCTGATGTTTCACTATGGCCCCCTGGTTCTATGAGGATCTGGAGTGTCACAGTGGACTCTTTAGTTCCATGAGGCTCCAAATGTCACAATGGCCCCTTGGCTTCATGCAGCCCCACTGTGTCRCAGTGGACTCCTTGGTTCCGTGAGTTTCCGGTAGTGTCACCATGGTTTCCTTGGATCCACAGTGTCACAATTGGCCATTGGATCCACATGGCCCTGAGGTGTCACAATGGCCTCTTGGTTGCATGGGACCCCAATGGCACAATCAACTCCTTGCTTCCATGTTGCCCCCGCAGTGTCATAATGGCCCCTTCATTCCACGAGGAACACAAAAGCTTTGTAGAAACACTGAATGAGCACATCCTTCTTAACACACCTGGGCACATCTGTTTATGTTCCAAAGAAGGGTTAAAGGTGAGAATGACACCAGCAGCTTCCATCCAGCAACAGAGATCAAGGGAAAGGACAGGGACAAAATTCTGCTTCAAGACGCAGAGCATTCTCCTTACAGAGATTTCTTTTCACATTGTCCCTTGTATGAAGGTGCCATGATTCAAGGCAGCCTGTACCAAGCATGTGGCTCCTCAGTGGGGTTTACTGTTTAGAAAACCTGCTCAGGCTTTTCCATTCTTCCCTAAGGAGACCCTGGAGTGGCTCTGGGAGGTTGTTCCAAAAAGTCCTGTGGGGAAATCACAGGGAATTCACTGCAGGAGCAGCTCCCAGGTGAGGCCTGGAGATGCAACCCCACAAGAAAAAAAAAAAAAAAAAAAACAACAAAACCAAAAAAAAAACCAAACCACAAAAACCAAACAAAAATGACAAAAGATCTGCCAGGATCTTTATCAAGCCAACTTTTGGGGACAAACCCTCGCCCCCGGACCACTTCCTCCGCCGGGGGGACCCAACCCCTCATCCACCAGACCCCGGCCACAGTAGTCTGGGTTCCCCTCACCTGCGGGGTGGTGCCACACTCGTGCAGTGCAGCCACGAAGGTTACAAAGGCCTGGGTGGGGTTCGGGACCAGCGGCGGGCACGAGGCCGTGCCCAGGCTCAACTCTACCACCTGCACTCGGTGTCCGGTGCCAAAGAGGTCCCTGCACACGGTGACTGCCAGCTGCTCCTCCTGGTACCGCACGGGGACAGCGCCTGCAGCTGCGACGGATCCATCCGCGCCCCCGGCTGCGCCATGGTGGGGACGCGGCTCCGGGAGGAGTGCCCCTGCAGCCACCACACCCCGGGATTCCGCAGGAGAAAACCCCAGGGATGTGAGGGTGCGGCTGCAGCCAACACCCCTCAGAGCAGCACAATCCCACAGTAACTCCCAAACACCATCCTGGCTGTGGGAAAAGTGGTGGCTCAGGAGCCTTTTATGGGAGCGTTCCTAGGGGAATCCCAGCTGGGATAATGGGATCCAGCTGGGGAATCCCACTGGAGATAAGGGGATCTATCTGGAGAATCCCACTGGGGATAATGGGATACATCTGGGGAATCCCGCTGGGCACAACGGGATCTAGCTGGAAGACCCCACTCACAGAATCACAGAGTCTCAGAATCATAGAATCACAGAATGAACCAAGTTGGAAAAGACCTCTGAAATCATCAAGTTCAACCTGTGACCTACCCCCTCCTCATCAACTAAACCATGGCAGTGAGGGCCACATCCCATCTTTTTTCAAACATGTCCAGGGACATTGACTCCACCACCTCCCTGGGCAGACGATTCCAGGCCCAATCATTCTATCGGTGAAGAATTTTTTCCTTATGTCCAACTTAAACTTCATCTGGTGCAGCTTAAGGCTGAATCCTCTCATTCTGTCAGTGGTCACCTGGGAGCAGAGACCGATCCCAGTGACCGACTGAAACACCACTCCCAGGCCCGGGACCCTGAACCACCATTCCCGGCACCGCGATCCGCCTACATTTCTCCCCCCACGCCTTTCCAGACCGCCCCACATCTGAGAAATGCTCGTGAGGTCTCAGCCTTGACCAACAGCCCCTGGGCTCGGCTGCTCTGGAGCTGATCACAAACCCTGTCTGCTCCCAGGCGCTGCTGAGCTCCGGGTTTCTTTAGGAACAGCCTTGGGAACTGCTTCTCTTCCCTCAATGGTACAATATCCCTGTTCTCACAATGCCGAAAAAAGCTGTTGATGCCGAGTGCGGCCAGGATGAAACACTGCTGTGGCTAACCCCCATCCCTCTGGGCCCTATCAATAGCACTCCAGAATGAGCCCTTTGGAGCTCTCCTGGCCCAGCGAGCTCCCTCTGAGTGGGGCCTCTCCGAACTGGGAACTCCCACCTTTGGTGCACTCGGGGGATTCCCAAACAACGACGGACCCCGGGCTGATCCCCCCCACGCCTCAAAGCTCAGCCCTTCGCCCACTGCGGAGGTGGAAAAGCGCCCGGAGTGAGCATTTCCCTGCCCTGGAGGGGAATTTCTGACAGGTCTCTGGCACTGACTCTGTCTGTGTTTGGGTACCCTGGATACCTGAGTGAGTGAGGCCTGTGAGTAAGGTTAAGTCATAAGGTATAGGCTGAGTTAAATGCTATTAAGTGTCTGTCCTTTGTTAAATTGGTGACGTTAAATCATGGGTTATAAATTAGGTTAAATATTGTTCAGTTATATTACTTTGCTAAATTATTAAGCTTAAGGTTGAGGTATAAGTACTGTTAAGTTTGAAGGCTGTTAAGCTTTTGGGCCCAATTCCTTTCATCCTTGCCCTCACTGTCTTTTTGTCACACACACCTACACACACACGCAGGGACAGTTCTTGATCAATTTCTGGTTTAATTGACTGGATTTTGTTTGGTTTTGTTGTTGCTTGTTGTTCCCTTGTTGTGCCTGAACTGCTCAGGCAGGAGCAGAGTGACTCTTGCCCGTGAACTTTGTCATGCTGTCCCTTAATATTAAATCTGGTTTGTGGTGATCCCTTGTCGGGGATTTTTTAAGCGGTCTCAGCCCCTCGTTTGTAACAGGGTGAAGGAGCCTGGCCCAGGCTCTTGCCCTGGGGGACACAGGGACGCTGCCAGGGGGTCCCTGTCCCCCTATTCCACTCCCCAGAGCCCTGTTCCTACCACCACATCTGTGTTCATGGCCCCTCACGGCTGCCCTGCCCTGGGGACACGGCGGGACCCCCTCCTGCCAGGGCTGAGGCGTCTCACAGCCCCTCACAGCCCCTCACTGCCCCTCACAGCCCTCAGAGCCCCTCACAGCCCCCAATGGCCCCGCACAGCCCCTCAGGGCCCCTCACAGCCCCACGCTCGAGGCTCCTCCCGAAGGAGAAGGGATCGGACCCTGCTCCTTCTCCTTTTATTTCGGTCCCTTCACAGCGACGAGCAAAGAAAGGCTGAAATGGAGCCTTTCCCCCGCCTTTCCCTCGG